AGAGAGCGCCGAGAGTGGCGAGCATTGCCCATCTCCCGTGAATCAGCTCACATTCTCTGAATCTCTGGATACCGAAGACCTCGCTGTACGGCTGAAACGGCGTCGATTTGGGGTCAGCCGCCTCCGTACGGGTCCCGATCACGTCTCCGGCTAAGTTCTTGGCTAAGTTCTGGTCCAGAGAGTCCAAATCGAATTGGAGGTACTCAGCCGGTTTACCTAAACCGAAAGGGTCGAAACCGTAGTCACCGACCAGCGAACCGTCGAGATACTCGGGGGATTTTGCGCCAGGGAACCACAGAGGCCGGTCTGAGAAAACCGTCTTAGCCTTTTTGGGAGCGGCTTTCTTCTTTCCGAATCCGAACCGGGCTGTGAACCGGCCTGAGCTTGAGTGGATGTCGGGAAGCACCCGAGTACCCATGATTGAAGAAGCAGCGGCGGCCATCTCCGGCGTCGTTTGTGTTTGTCACGTTTGCGGATTTTAATTTTCAGTAGAGAGAGATATGAGAGCAAATGACGTTACTCAGTGGCAGTATATGTTGTGTGGGAGAGATGAAACTTGGATATCTCAGGGAAGGATTCTTGACGGTTGGATTGAGAAACAAATCCATCTGACGGTGGGAAATAACGCTCGGCCTTATCTATTCAAAGTTCGCGTTATCCTAAGGAAGAAGCTGATTGGGCAAAAGAGGCTATTGGCGAATCTTGTACAATGCCACTTGTCACTTCAGCAGCACATGTCAATCACCGGAAGTCCACTTGGAAAACCATGACAATCCTTGAATTTTGATAATCCGGTTCGGTAAACTCAATACCAAACCGGAAAAGTTACTTTTTGGAGCATCAAGGTGTTTGAGTGTTGTGGAATTCGAAGAAGGCTTCTCATTGAAAATGATTACATAATCTCGCATCCGATACAGTACATTAGTTCAAGACATGAACGACATCTAACTGTTGCACAACCAAACAGTAAAATACACGAGAAGAAAAGAACAATAATACATTCAGGAAAAAAGACCTCAGAAGAAGAATCTCCAGACGCTTCAGGTATCGATGATCCGGACACACTTTTTCTATAGCACTCAATCAGATACTCGGTGAAGGAAACATCGAAGAACCAATACAGGAAACTGAGCAAATGGTTTTCATTAAGTAGAGAGTTGGAAACGGCCGCTAGGTTTTTTTCTTCTCCATCCCTACCAAAACCCCCAAATAGAACATATGATTGTTAAGACTATTATACAGAAGACAGAACTGGGGAGTCGCGTAGCATGAAAGATGAAATATGACTTACAAAGGCAATGTAATATAGAAAGGTCAGTCCAGCCAAGATAACAAACCCGATTTGGAACACGTTGTACCTGAAATATACCACATCGCTCAATAAGAAGGCATGAGACAGATATAACATAAAGACTGTTATACACTAAATCACTACTACTTACTTGTATAGGTACTTAATTCCCCGAAGGGACTGCAGTGTGTGGCCGAAGATCTCCTGAGCAGCTGTGGCTTGAGCGTAATATCCAAATGCAGTGGCACAGAATTGAATCACACTGCCATTTCAAAGAGCCACAGTTATTACAATCACACAATGCATCCGATTTCCAATCAGAGTGAATTTGATCCCATCATATCCTATTTGGGAGAAGATACAGAAGCATGAAAAAACGGAGATCAAAGAGACCTACCTGATGGAACAAAGAAGAATGAGACCGACGTTGAAGAGGAAAGAGTTCATTAGAGTAGCTCCCCATCTAAAGACAAGTTGATATGGCCAATTAGAAATTAAAGAAAAGGGAATGGCCTTGGAAAATAACAAAACAATGTCAAAAACATTAGATGATTTACTTCATCGGATGAATGGTAATGAAGACCAGCTTCAATCCCAACATCATTGCCCCAGCGATAACAGCGAGTAGAAGGTAGAAACAGAAGAAAGCAAAGGCAGCAGTGCCCAGAAGACCTGGAGGATTCCGCACATAACAACATAGAGTCAGGCAGACACATAAGGAACCTTATATAGAATAATATAACAAGAACAGAAGCAGGAACTTACCCCAAACGTCATCAAGCTTTATAAAAACCTCGTTAAGAAAAGGGGAGAGAGGAGGGTCGACAAGTAGATATATGATGATGTGTGCAACCCAAGCAATAGAAACGATTAATCTACAAAGAAGTAAAAAACAACCATTACAAAGTGACTTAGTTAGGGACCTACAGAGTGCAAACCTAAGGCCATAACACACAACAATTGTAAATAAGATTGTTTTTTTATTAAATACTAACCCTAAGATTCCAAGAATGAACTTGGCCAAGTATCCGAGCACAGTGAAAGCCCATGCAGTTTCTGCCTGAAAACAACGAGGACATAGAGTAGTTGAGTAAATCAACGATTATAGATAAAGTTTTGAGATACACTTGTCTTACCTTCTCTCCTTGAGGGTACGCCTCTTCTAAGAGGTTCACATCTTCCTCCAATTGGAGCAGCTCCTGCATTAAGAACATTCAGTTATAGGATTAAGGGGGCCTTAAGAACTTAAAATCCAAAATCAAGCATGGTAAAGCTGCCAATAATCCAGTGACTCTATCCCATAACCAATTCTACTATCGTAGCAGCATACGACCAACGCTTCTTTACACATTCATGGACCACTATCAATAGACAAATTTTCCAAGTTTCTAGTTATGACCTTGAGATAAATGATGTACCTTTTCAACTGCTTTCACATTTTTCCTCCATTTCCTGCCCTTAGCACCACCTCTTTCTTCCTGATGAAGTTCATCAGCTGCTTTCTTTAGTTCTCTTGCCTTTTTACCTAGTTCAGTTGCTTCCTGTAAAACATTTTGTGGAGTTCACTAAGAAAGTGAGAGTGAAAATGACTTAAAAACTGTAGGAGATGCTTCCAGAGAAGAAAAATAACCAAACCTTTATATATTGTGACCGAGTGATAACAGCTTTTGGTCGCCTGATGAATGCAGTGATAAGCCCTAATGGTAGGCATGCAATACCAACGCCACCAAATATCTAAGAAATTGGAGAGGACAATTAGCTATCAGATTTTTATTGGAATCTCAATATCAAAAACCTATTAACTACAAAGGATACAGAATTAAATCTAGCCATGCAACGCATTAGTCAATGACGAATCCATAATAAAAGAAAAGTTATATCCTTCCCAAGCATACAAAGCATTTCTCAACATCATAGAAACATGTTCATACCGTGAAAAGAACTGACCCAACAATTGTCGCAAGAGCAACAATGTATTCTGGAAAAGTAGTACGCATGGTCCACGTTTTCTCAGATGTGACATTAGCTGTAAATGCTGAGCACTGCATCGATTTACCAGAGGTAGAAGAAAAATGTTACATGCTGAAACGCTCTATGGCATAAATGATAAGTGAACAATACCAACGTTGCAATTAAGAAGCAAAGATCACCTGGCGAGCGGTGTTACCGATGCATGGTTGATTATTTGAAAACTGCCAGGAAGTAGGGAAAGAGGTTGTGGCAGAGGCCAAGTGCCTGACAGAGAAGTCCACCTTTCCAATGACACCTAACATAGTGTAAAAGAGCACAAGAAGATGAAAATAAAATCCAAGGAATATGAAATTAAATGAAATTACGAACAGCTCACTGAATACCAGTTAAGTATTTATAACTTTTGTAAGATAAAGAAGTTACCAACAATCCTAAGCTATTCCTAATCCTAACACATGATAATAAGATATCTCGACCAAGCTCTAATTAGGTAAATTATCAGCTGAAAGCAACAAAGGAATGCAGTCAAAAGATGTCAAATCATAGTGCAAATATGACCAACATCAGATGATCGTTCATTAATGGTTTCAATTACCACTTCCAACTTTCGTAACTCAAGGAAGACTCTGAAGTTTAAGACTTCAAGCCAACAAAATAATTGATAACAGAGGAGCAACTAACCGTATAAAATTCCAAGCACTAGAGCACAAACCACAGCAGTGGTTACCACCCAAATCAAGGCACTTTTTATCCTCTTTCCCAAACTCCTGCAGAAAAAAAGCAAGCCCACAAAACGGTAAACAATATTAGATTGAGAAACAACTAACAATGCAGAAATTAAATGATCAATTTTTCATCGAGATACGAACTTGTCTTGGTCGCCTTCATAGAAAAACATTGCGAAGGGGATGACAAAGAAGACGAGAATAGCGTCCACGATGTAAATGGCAAGCCAAAGCTCCTTCATGGGCAAGGTGAGATTGCAAGCGCCGTTGTAAATAGCATGTCGACAAGCATGCCGATTTGCCACATCCGCCGGTAACATGAGGATCGAGATCATGGCAATAGACAAACCGAAAACAACGACGAATTTGGGGAAATAGGCCTGGTTGGCATCATCCGGATGCTGGTAATTGACGAGGAGGTAGATGCTGGAGATGAAGACGATGACGCAAACAACGATCGCGACAATCACGAGAGCGAGGTTGAAATCGCCCATCGTGTGCAATGTACAAGGTCCCCAATTAAAGAGATTCCAATCCCGGGAACGATTTGAAGATGCAGCAAGCCAATTGAAAAGCTAGGGTTTTCCTCGGAGTTCAAAATTTGAAATTGATTTGGGGATTTTAGCAGATCTGGCTTTCTTATTTTGTTTCCCTCTCGAAAACAGACGAGGGAAAGGGAAAGAGAACTGGGACGGGGATGAACGAACTGTTAAACTACATAATTGCCCTCCTTCATGCGAGGTATTTACGTGGGCAGACAGACTTTACTGCCAGATGTCTTTGGGTAAAAACGTAAATGTCACTAGGTTCGGAGACCAGCTGTCCGAAGCAAATCATTCGGACAAAAAAATTCTGCTGGTAATAAGCAACAGAACGGCACCGTAACATAATCAACTTTTGGCATTTAAAAACTCTAACCTATGTAGAGGATCTCCACTAATTGAATTCAACAGATAGAAACAGAAATAAATTCAAATATTTTTCTCTTGAATAAACAAACAATCCAATGAAACTCAACGACTCTCTTTGCCAAAACTCGGCAACAGTACAAGTAATTTGAGTAAATAGTACGATGCGCCACCTATCGTTGCAAACCGAAGCTCTTCCGGTCCTTCAATCTCTGGAAAATCTCCTTCGGTTGCTCGGTTAAACCCTCCGGCTAACCATCCTAAGCTTTTGTACCCTTCCCCGTGCAGCTTTGATA